GATGGGATGTTTCTCCACAATGGTGTGAAGAAAAATATCTCTCCCCATAATCTTTTCTGGCAGCCTTACAAAAAATGTGAACGAGCTGAAGATAACTGCGTAATGTTAACAGTTCTAAGGAATCATCACCACACTAGCTCTGCTTCTACAAGGAAACAAATGAGGATGGCATTGTAGAGCAAAGAATCGTTGGAGTCAGGAAGCAGTTTTTATCCAGGCCAGTTTGGCTGGAGATCCTGGAAGTTTTTTGTCATCTTTTGGGCATTTGAATGCATTATCCTGAATGGAATTGTTTACTATGAGAGCTTGAAGTAGCCACCTTTGAAACTTTGCACATATTGTTGAAAATCATGTATTGAAGACAGACTTCTACAAACTGACGTTTGATAAAGACGAAAGGTCGAAACGGACAGTCAAGCCTGGAAAGGTTCGTCCTGCCTGCATTGAGACTTTAGTCTCTTGATGTATCCATCTGTGGAAACAAAATAATAATTATAATAGCATTTGTGTTGTCTTATCTATTATATTATGAACTTGTTCAGCAATATTGTGTTTGTTCTAGCCTTGAGAATAGTACACAATGCACACAAGTTAATGAAATGGTTGAAGCTGCCTACATTTGTATGGGAATAAAGCCGTCGTTCCCAAGGAGGGGAAACCTTTCTTTGTTTTTAAACGAGTCACAACACTCATCGCCCCTCAGCGTGCAAGAAAAAGAGAAGCCCCTCTTCTAAGGTGACAGCAGTGGCCAGTGGCTTTTCTACATAATTTGTATTAAAAAGAATTAACTCTGATTTTTTTAATGACCTACAGACGGCAATTGCACACGGACTCATTTTTAGATATCTGAGTACTTATATAAACTCATGTGTAGATCCGCCACCACTGTTGTTACATTTTTGTCTTTACTTTATGTATATCTTTTTATTTTATTTTTTAAAATCTTGTTTAGTCGTTGGATTTTAAGTTTTTTTTCTCCCTTGTTCTTTTTTCCTGGGTTGTTGGTTTTTTTGAAAGGGGAAAAAACTTCATTTTTAAAAATCATTTGTCTGGTTAATCAGGGCACCTTTGCCATAAATCAAAAGACTTTTAATTGATTCCTCCGACTGATGAATGGAGTGAATGTCGCAGCCCTCGTCAAAGGTGATCCAGACGGTGGCTACCGGTTCCGTGCAAAGAGAGGTTCAGGAACGGCTGTGGCTTGTGAGATCTGGAGGCACAGAATGACCATTTCTCCATTCACTTTCTCCCCCGCAGAATAACTTCCCTGCCAGCAGCCCCGAACGGCTGCAAGACCTCAAATCGACCGTGGACCTGCTGACCAGCATCACCTTTTTCCGGATGAAGGTAATCCAATTGTCCAACATCAGTCAGTTCACTTGGTCCTTCCTTCTCCTGAGAAGGTAGAAGGATTAGGTATTTAGCACTGTAACCTTGTGTCTGGGGGGTTGGCCGGGAACCGAGAACCCCATCCTTGCCCCTAGAGGGTATCTAATGTCAGAACCCACAGCCAACAACGTAGTACACGCTTATCAGGAAAGGTAATACTTTATTGAAGAGCTATAGATGCATTAACATAGGCACTGTTAAGAATGACAGCTGCCCATGGGGCGTAATAGGATATAGGGTATTCGTATGCACACACCCCTGCCCTGGCCAATTAGCCACCCTCCCGCGCATGGGAGAAAGAGCTTCGGCCATTTAGCACTGAAGCTGGGAACGAAACACTCTCCCACGGTTCCCAAGAAAACCAGACATCAACATCTCCACCTGCAATACTTAGAGATAAGCGGTGTAGCAGCAAAGACGCACAGAAGGAATGCAAAGGCAATTAGAAGACAACCAACCTCCCCACCCCCATGGCAGCATAGCTGACATACTGCCCCCTCATTTATATGGGAGGTCTCCCGGGCATACCGGGAGGTCTCCCAGTTACTCCAGGAGTTCTCCCGGTTTGTCCGGGAAAGCACGATGAAACTTTCGCAACAGTCTAGGGGCCCGAATATCCCCTACTTCCACCCATTTGAGGCGCTGGGGTCCAAAATCTGCCTATTCAACCAAATACATCAATTTTCCACGTTTGATTTTAGAGTCCAAAATATCTGAAATTTCATAATGTTCCACGCCCTCAACCAAGATTGGAGGGGGTACCGGTTTTGATGGACGCCAATGACTGGAACCGGAATTCTTTTTCAGGTGGCTGAAATGAAACACAGAATGCAATTTTCTCAAGTTCTTGGGTAAATCCAGTTCCACGGCCACCTCATTGATTACCATTTTCACTGGAAATGGCCCGATGTACTTCCAACCCAGTTTTCAACTAGGTCGTAAAAGCGGGATGTTTTTAGTAGGCACATAAACAGAGTCCCCAGGCTGCAGAGCCCAACCCTCCACCCTTCTCTTGTCAGCCTGGCATTTGTACGCTTCCTTGGCAGCATCTAAAGTCTTACACAGTAAAGGCCAAGAGTCACGTAATTGTTTACGCCATTGAGCTGCATCCCCCGGCCCTAAGTCATAGTCCCCCACTAAGAACGGGATGGGCATGCTATCATAACCATACAACACTTTAAAAGGAGACATTCCAATAGAGGAGTGCGACGTGTTGTTATAACAGAATTCGGCCAGGGGCAAGAGGTCGACCCAGTTGTCTTGTTGATAGTTTGTAAAACAACGGATATATTGCTCCAAGGTCTGATTGACCCGCTCCGTTTGTCCATCGGTCTCTGGGTGATAAGCGCTGCTCAGTCCCCTCTCCACCCCCATCAGTTTCATTAGCTCCCCCCAGAATTTAGACATGAACTGAGACCCCCGGTCGGAGACCACCTTAGTGGAGAGCATGTGTAAACGCACCACGTCTCGAAGAAATGCCTTTGCCAATGCTTTAGCCGTTGGCAGGGAGGCAAAGGGGACAAAATGCGCTTGCTTGGAAAACAAATCCACTATCACCCATATAACAGTCATTGTTTTACTCAGCGGGAGATCTGTAATAAAATCCATGGAGATAACCTCCCAGGGTCGACTCGGAGTAGGTAGTGGGTGCAACAGCCCGGGGGGGTTCCCCGGTCGAGGTTTACTCATGGCACATATCTGTCATGACTTGATAAAGGAGGATAAATCCTTGCACATCTGTGGCCACCAAAACTGACATTGCAATAGCTGAAGAGATTTCACGAATCCCGGGTGTCCTGACAGTTTGGAGCCGTGCACTGCTTGTAACACCTCCCCCCGGAGTGATAGGGGAATGTATAGTTTATGCCCTCTATACCAACAACCATTTGTTCGTAGCTCGAAATCACCCTCTGCTTCGAGCACGGCCTTGTCGCCCTCCGAGAAAGCTGAGGCGAACGTACTGTGCCAAGTTTCCTCCTCCGCCCCTTCTGGCTAACGGGGAGACACTCCCTCACCCAGCTAACAGGCACAGAAAGACAGAGTGACAACAGGGACCCACCAGCTGTGAGCAAAATGGGGCAAGCGCGAGAAAGGGAGAGACAACCCCCAAAGTCCGGAGAGGCGTATAAGGGGTCAAATGGCCTCACACCTACGGGAACCCTTAAACCCCTACCTCACATCCCACCTCAAGGAGTTGGGGCAGCAAAGGGAAGCTGGGGCG